CCCATCATTCATCTTTCGCTCCCATCCCTTCTTCATCCAGTCTATCTATTCAATCACTAATCAATCAATCAATCCATCAATTAATCAATCAATCAAATAATTGAATTAAATTATTTAATTAATCAGTCACAACAAATTCATCATTTAGTTAATTAATCAGCCAGCCAGTCAGTCAGTCAGTTAATTAATCAATTAATCAATCAATCAGTCACACAGCAAATGAATTAATTAATTAATTATCACTCAGACATTCAATCAGTCAGGTAATCAATTAATTATTCAACTGATTGAATGATTGATTGACTGATTATTAATTCAATCAATCAGTCAATCAATCAATCAGTCAGTCACACAGCAAATGCATCAATTAGTTAATTAATCCGTCATTCGATCAATAAGTAAATTGATCAATCATTTAATCAATTGATTGAATAATTGATTGACTGATTATTAATTCAATCAATCAGTCAATCAATCGATCAATCAATCAAATAATCAATCAGTCAATTAATCAATCAACCAGTCACATAGCAAATGAATCAATTAGTTAATTAATCAGTCATTCAATCAATCAGTCAATTATCAATTAATTAATCAACTGATTGAATAATTAATTGACTGATTATTAATTCAATCAATCAAACAATCAGTCACACAGCAAATGAATCAATTAGTCAATTAATTAGTCATTCAATCAGTCAATTAATCAACTGATTGACTGATTATTAATTCAATCAATTAATTATTCAGTTTTACAGTTAGTCATTCAGTATATCAATTAACTAATCACTACCTGTCAGTCAGTCAGTCAATCAATCAATCAACAAATCAGTCATTCAATAAATCAATCAATTATTCAATCAGTCAACAATCAATCACTATATTGTTGACAGACATACAGTCATTCTGTCGGCCATTTTTTGGAAGTTAGGTTGCATTATTCAGTACGGTAGGCCTACGACATACAAGAAATCTATTAATGGATTGTCCTATGAAAAATACCAAAGAATATCATAAAATCATTTTTGAAATTAAAAAATGATAGAAACACTTCCAGTCATTGGAAGTGTTTTTTTTTTTACCACATTTTTAAAATTTGATAATTTCTATACTCAATTTCAGGGATCAATACATCTTTAACGAATTCTTGCCATTAGGAATCGTGCAGTTACGACTAGACGAAGTAATGAAACAGAAACAAATTTACACTATTTACCCAGATAATAAGCGCTTGCAACTATTATCAAAATTGCTTCATTTCCAGACGAAGTTGATTAACTATGAGACAACGCAATTGAACAACATTAATATGTGTTATGCATTACGACGATAGATTTCAACTGCGTTCTACAAGCTGCACCGGAGCAGGTGTTTTAATTCTAGACCAAACATTAAAACTTTACTGCCAACAAAATTAGGAGTAAATTAAAAGAAATGATTATAATTTTAAAAAGCACATTTAAAAAGACCAAATAATTTATTGACTTCCAACCAGAAACAGATTAGAAAGACTTGATAGACATTTTACTACTACCAGCTAGTTTGAGAATCTACGCAAAAGAATACAGGAAAGATATTATTGCTTGTTAAATTGACGGGAATATTTTTTTCATAAAAATTTTGATTATAAGTTAATAAGTTACTTAAATACACAAATTAGACAAGGCAAATATGGAATTGAATTATCCAAATGTATTTTTTTTCTTGTTTTTGCACTTTAGCTGCATTAATATTATTGTCTATAGCAATCAATGCCGTAGCCAGGATTTTCAAACTCACTTTAAGTGTAAATTCAAATAATATGGACCCATTTTACGCAAAAAAAAAATGAACAATGTGTACCCATTGTCGTAAAAGTTCACAAATTTTATGCAAAAAATACGAGAAATCCGGACCATTTTTTTTCAAAAAGCGGACCTATTTTTTGCATAAAATAGCCTAATTTAGACCCATTTTTTAAAATGTGGACCTATTCTTTGTGGACCCAATAGAGAATTGTGTGGGACTGTCCCAAATTTTCCAATAGCCATGGCTACGGCATTGATTGCAATAACTCTAAAATGTGCAATTTAGTTACCAACAGATTTGAGATGTTCTGAATGATGTGTGTAGAACAGCAGATAACATGCCTCGCACCATGAACCCCAGAGGTATTCTGTGGTCTGTAGGATGGGTAAATGTTTGGGACTGTCCCAACTGTCCCAATAGCTGGCTTACGGCATTGATTGCAAAAACTCTAAAATGTGCAATTTAGTTACCAACAAATTTGAGATGTTCTGAATGATGTGTGTAGAATCCAGCAGATAACATGCCTCACACCATGAACCACAAAGGGGGCCCCTGAGGTATTCTTTGGTCTATAGTATGGGTAAATGTTTTAAAATTATAGCCCTAGAGTTGGTCACCCAGTGCTGAGGTAGTAACCAATGACATTCTCGTCGATCGCTGATGTTTGCTGTACGCTAATGTTTGCGTACAGAAAAACGTAAAAAAAAAATAAAAAAAGATGTAATAATAAAGATCATGGAGGCAAAATGGAGATGGGCAGGACATGTGGTACGGATGAGTGATAACAGATGGACTAAAAGAATGACAGAGTGGCAACCTAGGAATGGAAGAAGATGAGGCAGGCCAAGGTGGAGAGTGAAATAACATCTTACCTAGGCACAACATGGGCAAGAGAAGCAATTGATAGAAGAAACTGAAAAGATCATGAGGAGGGATACATCCGACAGTGGGTGGACATTCAAAGCCTGAAGTAAGTAAGTAAAGTAAATGTTTGCGCTAATATTTGAGCACGATGTACGCGCTTTGCATTTTTGAAAGCAACTACAATGGATCCATCCTCGAATATTTTATAGGATTTAGCAATGCAAAACACAGAGTTTAAAAAGTTTTAAACAAAAAAGAAATATTGTCTTTTATAGGTTGCACTTATTTTGTGGAAACTTTACTAAAAATATATATATATTGATTCTGATTTATGGAACAGTCATTTAAACCAATATTATTTCCTTGCAACACTTTAATACGCGCTGCTTCAATTATTTCCGCAAACATAGGCTCAACAATTGTATACTCTATTTTTTTTTTTTTTTTATTTAATTATAGTATTAAACTTATTAAGGAACCATTACCATCTTTTTTAACTTTTAATGGCTAATGTTTGTCAAGTGTGAGCTTTTGTTTGGTATACGTTTGGGGTTTTTGAAGTATTATTTTCATGATTTGTATTCTTAAAGTTGTTTTACATAATTAATCTCTGTTTAAGTTGCTTCTGTGCTGTACTTCTGGAGGTTTTATTGAATAAATTGAAATTATACTATCTCAAGAATACCATCTTTTAGAGTTTTTATCAAATACTTTCTTTTTGATGACATCGATACACGTAATACCTATTAAATAACTCCCCAACAGATATGTACGTATTGATAACGCTATTCCCATGGTTTTAGACTACTGCATGAGGTAGCATTTTGATTTGTGGTATATTTTTTTGTTATTTAACTTCGTCTAAGTCTCTGTCACATTCAATATTATTTAATGTGAGGTGCTTATTCATTTAGGTGTTGTTATTTATTTAGTTTAGGTTATATATTCTAGCGATTTCCACTGCGTAACAAATGTTAATAGGCCTTAGGCTACCTGTGTGATTTTTTTTAGACAATGGAAATTGATGAAATCTTCGAGTATCGTAGCTCTACTTCGTACGGGATCCCTGAAGACATATAAGTGTCTTACTGCAGCTTAGATAACGGAAATGTCAGACGATAAGATACATATTAAAACAACTCTCAACGGATAAATCAATGAACACGTGAAGGTTCGTGTCAAAATGACGTACCTATCGACATTTCTGACGTACATTTTAATCTTTTCGCCGGTAGAAATGATTGTTTTTAAGAGGTAGTATTTGAGATACGGTGATACGTATTAACTCTACTTGTATTCGTAGTGACCTATAATCATGACAATGATTAGATAAGTTTTGGCTTAACACTGTATTAATACAAACTCATCTCCACAGACAGCACCGATCCTCCAACAAACTTCCATGAGGAACGCAAAGAGGACTGTTGCCAAAGTATCGTGGTACCATACACACGAACTTCTAGTTGCGTCTATTTGTATTGGCAAATGCCAAAATACATGGTTTTTTTTCAATGTTTTTGGAACAACTGTAGGGACACTAGGGTCCCAGGGTCATAAAAGATCCTAATTTCGACGTTGTTTGAAATACTAGGCCTACGTGTTTAAAACACGTGCAGGTGGTGTCGGGTGGTTCGTGTATTATATTGCTTTACTTGCTCACATTTTACTCAGTTGTGGTAAATTTCAACATTAACAGATTCGTATTTTTTTAACGATCAGCGGATCGCGCAAATTCATCAACGACGGATTGCGTTTTCTTGCTCAAAATATTGCAACTTCGGCTGAACCTGAGACCATTCTATTGGAATAGCTACATTCGTAGGCCTACTTCTAAATTAAAGCCTAGTGCTTTGTTGCCTATCACAGCAAAAATCTCGTAAGGCTAAGTCGTAATATGAACACAGAGGTAGTTCATAGAAATTTCCCGTTGAAATAGACAATGGTCTAGTGCTATGACTGAAGTATAAGGCCGGACACTCTCTGCGTTCGACGGTCGTCGACGACACGGGTTGCGACTCTATGGATAACGCAAGCCACGATGCGTGCGCAACGCTTCGTTATTTATGACGATCCGTTCAACCTGCCACCGGGAATCAGCAGACGGCGTCGCGTCGTCTAGCGCTCAAAGAGGGCGGATTAGGATTATACGACGCAGTGGGTACCCGACTCAAGTGTTGTAATGCAGACTGTAAAGTGAAGAATGTCGTTCTATGAGATGCCATAACAGCAATATAGCCATTGATTCAGTTTCAGGTGCGCCAACTAATTTCATCGAACTTTGCCACTCTTACGAATAATTGAAAGAAAACACATTCATCAAAACGTATGTCAGTTAATAGATTTTATTATTTAGCTTAAGTATTTACAACGAGTCATATTTTACAAATATGCAATCATTCACATTAACATAAAAGCAAGCTTTGTTGAGAGATTTTAAATATGATACTCTCAGTATCTGAATAATTAATCAAAGTTAATCTTGCGAATTATTATACATACATACATACATACATACATACATATATACATATATATATATATATATATATATATATATATATATATATTATACATTGCTTATTGAACTTTCTACAAACAAATAATTGGCAATTATTATTATCGAGACATTACGTCAACTGGTGACGTCACTTTAAACGGGACATACGTCATACAAACTAGTAGCAGACCGTAAAATATTACTTGGAATGAATTATGATGAAAAATTTCAATACAATGTAATTAAACGTTGTTAGAAGCTGGAACTATTTAGAGGCAGATGTCAAGGTGTGATTTATATAATCTACTCAAGAGAAAAACGTCGTCAATAAATTTTACATTTTACACCGCAATTGCCACAACAATGTATATTGCCGAGTAGGGCAGTCCCAGCCTGTCCCTCTTAGGCCAATTTCTGATTTTCAGGTTACACTCTCTACGGTTTCCTGAAGATACATTTAATAGTCACGTCATAAACATATTTAACAAGTATTGAATGAAAAATTAGATTTCAAATTAGTGAATAAACATACATATAGTATAATATATTGTGAACTTAACAAACTACAAACAGCGGTACACGTGACCAGCCTGCGTTTACCGGAATGGAATGATGACGTATCAGATATTTTGCACTTTTTCACAAGCACACCACTTCACTCGATTTCACAGACAAGTCCATATTTTATACAATATCTCTGTATTTCTGTTATTTGAAGCAGCTAATTGTTTGCGTGAACATGAAAGCTTATAATTTAGTTGTGAATATGCGTGTCTATTTCACACCTATATATAATCTTCCTTTCGGAATTTTCAGAGTTTATTCTATATAATCTGAACACAAGAATAGGCCTAACATATTAAATTGTATAGGCCTAGTTATTGATCAAATAGGATAGCGAAGTAGTTGATTGGTGGTATTCACCTCGCTTATGAATTCTATATATTTTTGTTTCTAATTGTTAGAAAATATTAAATTTACACGTTGACTATTATCACCATAGGAACACGTAGGTTAACGCCATAGTTCCGACGCACATGCGCTAATGAGCTCAATACTATCACTGCCTCAAACATTTAGCAGTGTCATTATTCATAAACATTATAAATTTTGACTGTACATTGATGGACTTTGCAAGCAGTATTCAGGTTGGAATGAAACATTTGCACTTATTGACAAGGCTTAAATAATTCGGATCAATCTCAGTCGTTGATAGGAGCCTATTCGTCGTAGTTGGTAGTAAGTTGGTCTTTGGTGTCAAGATCTTCCTAAGTAAATTTCAGCCCCGTCTTCCTTTCGATTTTCTTATTCGCCTTGCGTTTGTTTTGCTATACGGGCAATGTTCTTGTCTTGTGACTTTTCGCAATTTCAGAATCTTTGTAATTTTACGTACTTGTCGCCTACAATTCACTTCACAGTTTTTATAAATTTTCTGTTCCTTGTTCAAAAGTTTTCTTAACTTATCTGAAATTATAAGGAAATGTTTACGCCTTTAGATGTTTGCATTAACCAAGAATATAATATAAAAATTCAGATAAAAACATTACGTTACTTACGACTAGTTGTAGCGCCCTCAATCGTGTGTCTGTCAGGGTAACTTGTTAAAAGCTCCGCAAATTCTTTCAACGAAATGTTAAAAATTCCAAAATTCCGTATTGATCCTATATTTAATATAACATAACAGATATGATGATAAGTTTATACATAACATATACTTGTATATGCAAAACATTAGTTATCTATAATTAAATCATAGTATATATATATATCTATATATATGTATATATAGTATATATATGTGTATATACATATATATATATTGCAATCTCCAATTCTAGACCCCTCTAATTCGAGACCACTTTTTCCGAAGAGACCTAAATAACAATCTTTTACCTTTTAACACAAAGCTAGCCCTCTAATTGGAGACCAACTCCGAGACCACCACAAATTTTCAGGTCCCAAAGGTGGTGGTCTCGAATTGGAGGGCGATCTATATATATACTGTCTCTTATACACATCTAGATGTGTATAAGAGACAGATGTTGATGATGTTTTTATTGCTTTATGTATATGAGTTAGACTAGGTAGAGTCGTATCCACATTTTAAAATTTATCACTTTACTTTACGTGTAACATTTCTTATATAAAAATCATCTCTTCGGAGATCCTGTTTTGGCGTTTAAAATGCGGGGTATATTATGGTTCTCTGTTTCGTGTATGTACGACGAATACTCCGAAATCTTCAGTGGTCCGTTTGTTTGAGGTGTTTGCAGAAGATTCCATCAGATATGCTGCGCAGCACTGGGAACACATTTAAGCAGAGAGAGAGTAAAACTCCATAATTCCTTACGTTATTTAAATACATTTAAATTTTACTTTAATTAGTATTAATGTACATCGGCAGCTTGAATAATTGATTTGACTTGATTTCTGTCGTCGTTAACCCGATAGTTAAGATTACAGCCGATACCTTGTGGCTTTCTCAGTAACTCTATGAACATTACGTTTTCATTTTAATGCACGTGTTGCAATTAGCCTAGCTTGTCAGTCTAAGTATTTCCTCTTGGGGCAATCAAATGCAATTCCATGCGTGTAAACGACACCCTTGACTTGAAGCTTTTTTTTTATCTCTGTATTTTTGCCGATATACCATGTCTGCCGATGTTGCTAAATTTCTCTTTTCCCATCCAACATCTACCAACTGTATTGACGAGATCATACGATGGAAAGCTAAGTCAGTAGAGATCATAATGGTTTAATTCTTTTAAAAAGAAAATCCGTAGTAAAAGCTCAGGCTTAAGATATAATTGACCACAAAGAAAGAAATGATTAAAGAGAACATACTACTTAATGATCGAGATCGACCTTCTGCGAGTGTCTGCTAAGCATGTTTGTGTGTGAGTGTGGGTTGTGTAAGTTATTTCAGCGATTTTCGTTTCATTCTTCGGCCTTTAATTATTTTCAGTTTATTCAGTGTAATGTTTTCGTGTTTTTTTCCTTATATTTAATTACGTAATCATTTCATTTCGTATTTTCTTTAATGGTTGAATGTTATAACATAGTGTTATAATTATCTTTTTGATGTATTCATTTATCACAAGAAACTTTTAAGGGGATTTTGCACTTGTTGACTATTTCCTATTACTATAATTTATGTATTGGGCCTATTATTATAGGCATATTATCCATTTGCTAATGAAGAACCTGACATATAGAATAAAAGCTTTACTGGTTACAAGACATAGTATGATGACAGTGCGAAAGCAGCGTGTACTTTATTCTACACTGTGTCCACATAGTCAGCACCCTGCGAACCAATTCCTCCTCTAGCCATTATAGGCTATGTTCTCACACGGCTGCTAACGGTTATCAGTTAGCTGCCGTGCGTCCATACGAGAAAATCCCGATCCGTATACCAAAAATATGATGATCGAATCACTGGCCAATAAGAAACTGGAAATTGTAAAGGCGTACGTGTGATTGGTTGATGATAAAAACGCGCTCAACTTGCTAACCGATAGCGCTTGCTAACCGTTAGCGGTATCCGGATACCGCTAACGGTTAGCGCTAACCGATCGGGCGTTCTCACACAGGTGCTAACGGTTAGCGCTAACAGTTAGCTCCCGATCCGGATACTAGTTTTCTCGTGAGAACCAGGCTAATGTCTTTCACTCTGCTGGACACTTTAATATTTTTTTTTTAAGGATTATTGATAAAATTTATATTTATATGCATTGGTTGTTCTCACCGTTGCTGTTCAGTATCCATTGATGTAGTTCCATAGTCTTTTCATCTAATCGTTCGATGACGTAACTGACCTGTTGACCTTTGGCCGTACTTCTCTTTTCGTTGTCGGATGGTGTGGAATACACCACCACATTTTCCCTTGGCTGAAGACACATTGGGGGCTCGGCTATTATTGTCGGCTTATTTGCGTATGGGACCTTGTTATCTTCTATTATGCAAGATAAAACGAATACAGTAGTGAAATTTACACACGAAAGGAAACGAGGAAATAAGTACTTTGATTCTTTTTGATGACAGCTATCAATTATATCATGACATAGGGGCCAGGGCAAAACCTGTCTCTTATACACATCTGGTGTAGACAATGCAATGCGTTATTAATCTTAATGAATACCCTCGCCTCTCCGGAGGAGAGGTGAATGGTACTGCAATAGCGCGCGTCTGCGTATATCCGTCTTTGGTGTGTGAGTCCAGGAGATAGTAGTGAGTACTTCTGGGCTCATAATTCTAAAACTACTTGACTGATTTACTTCATATTTTAACACACTGACAAAATTGTATGTATCTCAGTCCTCTTTGAATTGAGTGCTGTTCGGAAGTAAGATGCAGGTTTTAGAACGTTATTTATATACCCGATACTTTTCGGCAGCACTGACAGAGCAAACTCGAGCGGATCGTTCGACCGAGTTGTTTTGGCTAGGCCGAGCCGAGTGGACCGACTGTGGGCCGAATCGAGCGACTCGTCCATGTGTCAAATTCTGGCCGGCGGACTAAAGCGGTCCGAACGTCGTCCAAACGTGCCCAATTGATTGGCTTGCCACTCGAGCCCTATGATGCTAGACATCGTTTGAAGGATGGAGCGGATCGACCGCGGCCATCATTTTTTTTAGTAGATAAAATACGACGGTGTAACAAGGCGAAGGTTTGTAATCTCAGATTTTCCTGTTTAAACTGTAATTGAATAATGTGCCGCGCGATGAGACCATTCTAATTCTACTTCGAATTATGAGGATAATGATGATGAATGATGTTGTTGATGATGATGATGATGATGATGATGATAATAAAGATGATGATGATGATGATGATGATGAGGGTGATGGTGATGATGATGGTGATGAGAATGGTGATGATGTTAATGATGATGATAATGATAATTGTAATGATGATGATAATGATGATTATAAAATACAAATAATACAAATTATGGTGATACCATTATATATACTGTTATACAGTACCACGGAGGAGCGGCTCCAGGAATTCCCTCACGTGGGGTCCAAGCTCCCCAATAAGGGGTCCATTCCCCCTCCCCTTGTTAGGGAAGCATAGGCCCTTGTTAGGGAAGCCTAGGCCCTTCTCTCCTCCCCCTCCCCGGTTAGGGAAAATTTAAATTTGTTGGGGAATGTCTTTTGAACGCTGAAAGGGTCGAAGTGGGGATCCAAACTACCAAAGGTCCCCGACGGGGTCTTTTCCCCTCGGAGCCCCGATAGCGCCGCTACTGTTACGACGGAGTGACATAGACCTATTATTTCGCTCAATATAAACGCATGGCTCTGTACATTAACCATAAAAGACTTATAAAGATTGTGATGATAGTGGTACAGTATACCATAGTATACTGTACTGTAGATGATAATTGATGAATTTGTTTGCTGCCACCTAACTGCCAGCCAGGTAAAAGAGCATTAATAAGATTGTTATTACGTTGACCTATTTATTTGAATACCTTTCAACGTATTAAGCGTATTCTCAAATTTTACATTGTCAAATACTAATCAATAAATTAAGGTAAAGAAAGCCACGATCAAGATCCTTAAGCTATTAGTACCTGGGCATGTCGGGCAACATTGACCAGCAACCATTACAGGATTACTGCACTTCAGTTCCTCGTCTATGCATACAACCTTACTACAATTCCACTTCCCGTTCTTCGGTAGTAAAGAAACATATAGACACAATTTAAATAATCAAACACTCAAATACAAATCAAGAATGTGTGTTAATTACGATATTGATTATTATATTACAACAACAAAAACAAACAATCGTTGGAAAACGGCAAGACCTATTAATAAATATAGACATAGTCCTAAGCCTTAATTCTTGGTATCTCCAAACGAAATCTTTTCTTTTAAATGAAGATTAAAAAGGCAAAATGAGGACTTCTTAAACACCATATTTAAATTATCGCAACTTAATTAGAACTGACGAAATTCTGTTTATTGTTCAATTGAACTTATTGTCATTTTTCAATAAAAAATCTTTAGAATATCACAATCCTGCCATGCTGGATGTTGTCAAAATAAAATTTAATAAAATTGAACTTGCGCTACACAAGTCTACTAATTACTAATACCTTTAGAACAGGCTTGTAACGAGTGGTGCTATGATGCCGAAGCCTTTTTATAGGCCCGTGAAGAAATGGATTGGATTTCTCAAAGAGGCCTCTGTAATGTTGACGGATTATGAGATTCTGACATCGATTAATTAATTAGCCAGTCTCATGTGCCTACATTGTCGGAGCTTCCGGGGTTTTTTTTCCCCCCATGGGCTGTTAACGGGGCCGGCATCAAACTTAGACAATAGTGCATGTCAAGGGTGGGAGTGAAGCCGTGCTCCGTGGACTGGCGCCCGGTAATAAATATAATAAAAAATAATAAATATAGAAAGACAATACAATGTCATCTGTTTTAGAGGCGATATGCCTGATGTACCCCGCCCCTTTGGATATTGTTTCTAAGGTTCAATGAAACGACAGCGTAAAAGCATGCATTTGTGGGGCAACAAGTGCACTGTGAGACACGCGTGTATTCTTGGCCCTGTTATGATTGATCAGTAGTTGTTAAGTTGCATTGACAATTCGGGAAGATCCCTTTTATAAATGAGACATCTCAACACCTGAACAGACATAGCTTCCGGAACTTTTCCCCACCGTTCTTTTGCCCTGTTCCTCAACCTCATTATGGGTCCTTACGCAGCCAATCGCGTAGGGGCCAGGGCAAAACATAGGCCTACGGTATAGGCACCATAGTATATTTGACCATGATCGCAATAATCCACCACATTATTATGAGTAATACCCGAGGGTTAAACAAAATTAGTATAAAAAGTTTTATATTTCACGTTTTAGTGTTTTGAAAGGCCTTCAAATGCAACATTAATAAAAGAAAGTTCCACAGTTAAACTTACCAAACATGAACATACAATGCACTTCATCACACCGAATGGATACACATTAGGATGCCAGCGTTGACCATGTATGTACACTCCATAATCTGTTTGGCAAGCTAAATAATTAAAGTAAATGTTTATATTATTAGAAATGTGAATTGTAAACGCGAGCACAAACAAAGGCCTAAGTAACTAGGCTTACCCATTAAGTGAAAATAATTTATTAAGTGTAACCCGACACACACACAACCACCTGAAGCCCGAAAAAAAAAACAAAAAAAAAAACAAAAAAAAAAAAACAAACATAATACTTTGTAACATACGCAAAATTACGATGCTGCTCAATAATGCGACCCCAACTAATAATGATTCAAGCGTAATCAAACTTAAAACGTTGCAAGCGTTGCTGCAAGGTTGTGTTTACGTTATTTTTTTCACTAGACCTCATCACAACCTTTGTAAATGTTATAATAATGTTTTGTGTGTTGGCCGGGACCAAATAAGATATTTGGTGTGTATATAAAATGATAGCATTCGTATCCCGGCACATACAGTAGGCCCTATACGGATAACGTGCCTAAGGCCTACTCATGCCTTGGAAATTAGTGCATCCAGTCACCCCTTCATCTGGCGTAACTCGAAGCTTTATTTTAGCACACCCGGGCTAGTTACTACATTCTCACATTGTGTTTAGTGCAGTGGATTTTTCAACTTTGAGGTCGGGGTTTCAATCGTTCTCTGTGCATTTTCGCTTGAGCAAAGCACTTTATATATATTGCTTGTGTAGAAGCAAATTGCTAGAAGTAGTCTGCGATGGACTAGCTTCCCATTTATGGAGCATCACTCTGTCATCCGTTTCACGCTACAGAACTTCAGGTGGTAAGCCAGCCCTATGAGCCCCTGTGGCTTGATTAGGATTTACCGTTACATTTTACAGTTCATGCAATTGGGGACATAACGGTATATTGTAGCCTATAATTTTTACTAAGCATTAGTTAATTCTGTTTTCGTACCACCTACCGGTAGCCATTTAACTAGATTGCTGGTATAAGTGTTTAGTTAACATACTTTCATTTGTTTGTAACTTTATAAATATTTAAGGCAGTAGTAGTAGACCCGAGTTCATGCATATGGCATAAATATGTAATTCATTAAACCATTAATATATATTTTCATAAATTTGTATTATTAATATTGCGGTTAAGTGTTTGAATTCTGGATAAAACCGCTATTATTTCCCTAAGTAGTCTTAAAAACCTAAAAGTAGTAATAATTGTACTTAAACAATCCAGTTAGCTGATCTGAACAAAACACAAATGTCACGAACTTTTTAAGTAATCATATTAACACCTGTTGAGCTTTAATATATTAATGAAGAAAATCCGATTGTAATTTTAAAAGAATTTGTTTATTGTAGGCCTATACGATAATATAAAGTGTAAATATAAAATTGTTACATACACGTGGGAGTAATTAACGAATCAGTCACAAACTCGTTTGTTAATGAGGACCTACCATGAAATGTTACATAATAATAAAAACGCTAATTATAATGAATATGATAATTGTTTAATGATAACGATAATTTTAATTATAATTCACAGTGTTAAGGTAGTCGAGATGTTGTTTAATGTTGATTGTCCTGTTTCCTTTTATTTTGTTTTATCGTCTCTTGTTGATCGTGTTAATTGGGTGTGTTTATTGTTTATGCAGGGAACAGTGAAATTACATGGCATAACTAATTTATCAATTATACTTACAGCCACCCGATGCGTTCATTGGTCTGTCTTCTTCTGGAATGTCTTCAATAGGAATTGTTGGATGCGTTTTTGATCCTGCACCGGACTCTATCTTTTGTCTAGTTATTGTAATCGCGGTAGCAACTTCTTTTCCCATTGTGGTTTCGTGATGCTCATTATGTTGTTGGTTGTCCGTTGTTTCTGTAAGTTTGAAAGTGTATTGTCAGCGAAATGAACGCCACGATACCAAAGCAAAATATTAATTTCAAATTATCCATTAAGTTTATAGCTATTATATAGTTTATCCTTATTGCTATTAGTTATACAAAGGATATATAGTACTTCGAATATAGACGATCTTTCTGCAATTTTGTTTGATCGATTGGTTGATGCTGTTTTTACATTACAGTCCATCTATAGAACGACTTTTTCCATCTACCATAAGGACGGACGTTGGCGTTGAACTATAATATAGGATTATTCCCTCAATTAGACAAAATACGTTAGAGTTCATACTCTCAACTCTAGTGACATTCTTCTCAGGGAACTGCATCTAACGCGAACATTAACAGTAAGAGTAACGGTAACAATACCATATATGCCCATTTTATACACCTGTAGAATACATTAAAGATGTGCCTATCGAATGCGTTCGTTTTTCTACAAATAACTACAAATATGAATGTAGATTTAACAGCTTACCTTTTCCCGGACATATTGGACAGCAGGACGTAGGCAGTAGGACTGGTTGGCTACATGGTACAGGAATGCAGGTGCGCAATGCACACTGTATTTTATCATCCTACAAAACAAATAATACAATAACTGTAATAGCCTATAGTTAGATGCCAATACAAAAAAAGGTACTTTCTAATATTGGCTAAGAAAATTTAGTGAATGTATAAAGGAATATATGGGTAATATATATTACCATGCATGCACACTGGGTGCACTGATTTGGTCGTACACTGTTCACTTTTTCTAGTGTAAACGACTCGCCCTGCCGATACGACTCACCACCATAGTGACAATAGGTTTCAGAAGGTTGTATCGTCGTATGTAAACCACCGATAGTTGAATTTTCTTCAGAATCTGAAATTTTAATAATTTCGTTTTTTAAATTTTTTATTATAATTGTCAAAATATATACAAAATAAGCAGCAAGTATTAACAAGTCTGTTATTGCGTGAGTTTCAACGATTTTTACTATTGATGATAGCAAGGTCTATTGCAACCTCGATTGTTAAACAAACAAATGTTGCCATATGAAATGTTTAAGCAGTGAGCAACATAGAAAAATGTGTTTCCAACATCTATAATGCGTTGTTCATTAAGCATTAGAAAAATCATGTTTTTACGTATAGGCATCAGGTCTGTGGACCTGTGGATCCAAAAGATGTGAAAACAATGAAACTGGCGTTTTTGACCGGATCGGTGAAGCTGGTGGCTAAAACAACCAAAGGATGAACATTATTCCGATTTCAGTTTTGAAATTGAAAGTCATTAAAAAAATCAATAGCCCTAACCAGTTAGCTAAACATTAGGTGTAGGATGACTTTAAAATCGGTAGTATGAATTCCGCCTATAAAGATGTACGCTATTCTGTACAAGCCAAAATAAATCACTAAAGAAGGTGCATAATGACCACGTAGACGGGATGTAGAAAAGGATAAGTAATTAGGATAAGCATAAAGATGAGTAATTACTCATTAGTTATGACTTATTAGTTATAAGATCATGCAACTATTTGAAAAAAAGCCAATGAAGATGAAATCAATGGGATAGAATTAAGGGATGGAGCGATGATATTGCGACATGCATTAAGTTACCGTTGACCATGCTTCGGTCATTGTATTCAAAGCCCACCTGTACACTGCTTGCAACACTGGCCAGGTATGGTCTTGGTCCTGTCACAGGTGACCACTGGACATTGGATAGACGCACAGCTGGGATCATCGTGATGAAGACACGTGCACAATGTGCAATAATCGTAGCCGCTCTGAATAAAGTACGGGTGCCAACTGGAACCGACGGAGTACGATTGACGGTCCATGCTGCAGAATCCTGAGATAAATTACGAGATCAATAAAACTAAATAACGGCCACTCCAGTTATCATGATTGGTCGTTATATAGGCAGGGATTCTATATAATGAATCCTATTGTGTATTAGCTTGTTAACAGGGACGTCTGGTCGCCAGTTGGGTGACCGAATAAAGACGTCTGACATTTCAAATAATACTGATTCTGACTACCTTAAGAGTTAAAACCCTGGGCAAGTTTGCTAACATCTTGAACGTGTCCATACACGGAAATGTCAATCATTATTAATTTTAATGATTACTCATTATTAACAAAAATATTTTTATCTATGTTCAGTAAATCTTTATAGTCATGTTACGGTACTCGTTAATATTTGAAGCAGCTCTCAAAGAGCCTTTGTCGAATTGGCAACTAGGTAAACTCGGAGAATTCGTAGAAAACTCTTGACTATTTAGGCAATTTGGTCAGATTGGTAACCAGGCAAACTCGGAGAGACAGCTGGTAGAAATACTCTTGACGATTAAGGCAAGTCGGAGTGAAATATCGTAGGAAAACGCTTGACAATTCAGGCAACTCAGAAACAAATGGTAGGAAAACCCTTCACGATTCAGGCAAAAAAAAGAGAACTCTTGAAAATTCTGGCAAATCATAGAAAACTTGTAGGAGAACTCTTTACCATTCAACCAACTCACAGAGAACCCGTAGGAAAACTTGACTATTCAGGCACCTCGGGAAAAACTCGCATGAGAACTCTTAACTATTCAGGAAACTCGGAAAACTCGCATGAGAACTCTTGGATTGGATTTATTCGGTGCAAACACCAAGGATAGCCCACGAAACTCTAGAAGAAGACTTATTTCCAATGGAGGTCCTTCTGGTGGTGATTGGGCAGTACACCGGGAGACAATCCGCTACTCTTTTCCGAAGAGTGCACTACGTTCTTTAACGTGCACATAGACCATAATGCACACGGGACCAACGACTATTGTAACTTGTATTTCAGCCCTCCAGCTAAATCACAAGGAGGGGCAGCGAATTGAACCGGGGACATCTCCATGGTTCAGCACACACACACAGTGGCTACCACCAGATTAGACGACTGAGCTAAGCTGCTTTATAACTCTTGACTAGAAAAAACTTCTGAAGGTTCATGCAACTCGGAGAAAATTCGTAGAAAACTCTTGGCTATTCAGGCAATTCGGTCAGAATTGGTAACTAGGCAAACTCGGAGAGAGAGCTCGTAGAAATACTCTTGACAATTCAGGCAACTCGGGGAGAAATAGTAGAAAACTCTTGAAAATTCGTGCAACTCAGTATAAACTGGTATGGGAAACTCTTAATGATTCAGGCAACTCAGAGAGAACTGGTAAGAACACTTTTGACAATTCAGGCAACTCGGAAAAAAACTCGTAGGAGAACCCTTGTTCATTCAGACAACATAAAAATAACCCGTATGAAAAGTCTTGACTATGCAGGCAACTCGGAGAAAATTCTTAGAACTCTTGATAATTCATGCAACTAGTAGAGAACTTGTAGGAAAACTCTTGACGATTCAGGCAAACTTGGTCAGGAGTCGTAGGAAACCCTTGACGTTTCGGCAACTTAGTGAAAAGTCGTAGCTACCCCTAACAACAGAGCTGAGGCACAGTTAAAATTGCTTGTTGAAGTATGGTGATCAAAACATTTTTGTAGCTTGCATAAATATGTATTTATAACGTAGTTACCAACTAAATAGCGTATCGTGTTTACATTTTCTGACATACCTAACTACTATAGGCCTCCGTTAGTGAATCTTATAATAATCTTTGCGTTTGGTGGGCTGTGTTTTAACAAGAGAGTTTCTGTCTTCAGCTTCCGTTATATACACCTTTTGAAATTAACAAAAAAATGTTCTCTATACCGTCATTGTATATGTTTCCATATCGCTCGGCTTTTCTTTTCAAGTAAACCGAATGTCAATCTTTGCAACGCTTATATCAAGGATTAAAATGCGTTTAGTTGAACAATGTGTATGACTCTTTAAGATACGATCGTCTGTTGCGGTTAGAAGATGGGTTACCGTAAAGGACTTCCGCGAGAATAAAGTAGGCCTAAGATGATAGTGCGTGTGTCTGTCATCAGCTCAAACACCAAGTGTTATCAACTGCCAACAATGTTGACGTATCCCTCCACTGACGTATCTCTCCGGTGACGTATCTCTCTAGAGTGTTCACCCAAGATTCAAAACAATGTGCTTCCGATACACATAGAAAGTCTATTGTCTACAGGGATCTTTATTTAAGTATTGTAATAACTCCACGGATAAGGTCCTGCAAAAGTGATTGCCAATCAACACTATGCCTGTCCGATTATCCCCTAATATAGTAGATTGACTTTTGCAATCGATAATTACGGTATGTCAAATTTGTTGCAGTGAATTATAAGTAGGACTACAATGGGTTGAAAGTGGTTATCTCAGAAAGATGGGGTTTTAATGACAGTTTGGTAGTAGACTGTTGATATTTTCACTCAATCAGACTGAACATATTTATGTATAAATTATAATACGAAGATATATATATATAGGCCTATATATATATATATATATATATATATATATATATCTCTCTCTTATACACATCTCTCTCAGA